TTTAGTCCTATAGCAGCATAACTATAGAGATAACTCAGAATAATCTGAGCCCCTCTACCTATGAGCTCTATCAAAAATGAAATTTTAAGCCCAGCCTTAAAAGTAGACAGGATGTCTGCCTCATGGACTAAAACTTGAGCTGTTTCCACCCTTTTAACCCTCTACTGTGTCTTTTTTTTGTTTTCCAGAACTTGGGGAGCCAGGACCGTCAGTATGAATGTGACCCCCTGCCTTTCATGGAGGTGGGGAGTGTTGCTCATAAATACTATCTCGTCAACATCCGCCTGCCGGTCAACGAGCGCAAGAAGGTTAATATTGGGATTGGAGAGATCAAAGACATTCATCTTGTGGTCAGTTGGTCAAAAGATTCTTCTTGACATGTTTTTATTGTGGTGTTGGCATTGAAAAGAATGTATAAAACCCAGTTCACATACTAAATGTAAAATGCATTTTATTTTCTCTGAAGAGCATCCATCAGAACGGAGGTTTCACGAAGGTTTGGTTTGCCATGAAGACTTTCCTCACTCCCAGCATCCTCATCATAATGATCTGGTACTGGAGACGGATCACCCTCATGACCCGACCGCCTGTCCTTCTGGAAAAGTAAGGCTTCTCTTGGCGAAGAACGAGTTGGACTCGAACAGAAATATTCTTTAGTGAGAGTTACAGTTTATTGAAGAGAAAAACATCTGTTCATCTTTTGTCACTTTAAAATCACAGACTTCTTTTATTCATTATTAAGAGACTTGCCTTTTAAAAAACGAAAACATGACAGATCTCAAATCCTTTTTGTTTTTTTTAATTCCTTATCCCAGACATTTTAATATCTATAATCAGTAGTCTAGTTGTGTTAAAAAAAAAAAAAAAAAAGATGGGATTGTGGATGGTTAGCATGGCTATCGCCACCCCTACATTGTTAGCACGGCTATCGCTACCCCTACAAGGTTAGCATGGCTATCGCTACCCCTACAAGGTTAGCATGGCTATCGCTGCCCCTACAAGGTTAGCACGGCTATCGCTGCCCCTACAGAGTTAGCACGGCTATCGCCACCCCTACACTGTTAGCACGGCTATCGCCGCCCCTACACTGTTAGCACGGCTATCGCCACCCCTACACTGTTAGCACGGCTATCGCCGCCCCTACACTGTTAGCACGGCTATCGCCGCCCCTAAATGGTTAGCACGGCTATCGCCACCCCTAAATGGTTAGCACGGCTATCGCCACCCCTGCACTGTTAGCACGGCTATCGCCGCCCCTGCACTGTTAGCGTGGCTATCGCTGCCCCTACAGAGTTAGCATGGCTATCGCTGCCCCCACATGGTTAGCATGGCTATCACTGCTCCACAGAGTTAGCGTGGATATCACTGCCCCCACAGAGTTAGCATGGCTATCACTGCTCTCACATGGTTAGCATGGCTATCGCTGCCCCTACAGAGTTAGCGTGGATATCGCTGCCCCTACAGAGTTAGCGTGGATATCACTGCCCCCACAGAGTTAGCGTGGATATCACTGCCCCCACAGAGTTAGCGTGGCTAGCACTGCCCTCACATGGTTAGCATGGCTATCACTGCCCCCACAGAGTTAGCGTGGCTATCACTGCCCCCACAGAGTTAGCAAGGCTATCGCTGCCCCTACAGAGTTAGCGTGGCTAGCACTGCCCCCACAGAGTTAGCGTGGCTAGCACTGCCCCTACATAGTTAGGGACTAATTTCCCACTGGGATCATGGAAGGACACTCCTTTGATTGCTAAATGTTAGCGGGCTGTGCTATATTTTTGCTGTTAATATATAGTAGAAATGTTATAGTCAGTAATAAAATGTAACAGGGGATGGTGTGGGGGGGGTGGTCATTTAAGAAGGGGGATTCCCCCCACCCCCAACTCGAGTACTGTCTATAATATTGGGCAGATTTGCCTTTTATAAGTGTTTTAAATGTTGTTTTGATATTAATCTGAAGCTGTCGTGTTGTCATAACGTCCCGCTGTGCTGGGACGATGGATCAGTAAAGAGGCTGCAATCTCTGCTGCAGGAGGCAGCTGACGAAGCGTGAAACGTGTTACGAAATCTTGCAGCACTCAACGGATGCACGGTGCACATGAATTCTTTAGAACAGCTACACACACCAGCCAACCAGAAACCAAATCTACCCCCATCACACACACAGCTACATGCCAAGTGTCTCTCTCCATCCCACTTGTTTTTTTCCAGCTCAGGGATTTTATTCCCAGAGGACCAGCGAGCTCTTAAGATGTGTGACTTGTCATGGCCTATTTTATGGATAGCAGATTATTTTTTCATGCTTTAAAAGCTTTACTAAAGGTTCCTGCCATGCTGACCCTCTGAGGCATCAGGATGGTAAACCTCAGATTCCCTTTTAAACTTCAGAGTGATGTGAGGGGAACTTGCTTTGGTTAAAATTACTTGATGTTCAAAATAAATACATAAAAATGTCTTTGTTAGAAGAATGGATGTATTTAAAAGCTCAGACAAACTAAACATACCCCAGTGGGCCTCAGCAGATGGCCGCTCACACTGAGCCTGGTTCTGCTGGAGGTTCCTTCCTGTTAAAAG